ATATTCTGCCACTGACATAGTACCTTGTTTCAACTGTTCAAACTCAGTCACATTGCGATCCCTGACACACTGAGGAAAGTATTTTTCAAAGAAAGCTTCTCTAAATTGAGCCCAAGTCAAAGCAGTATTGGTGTCACGAACAAGCATCCACCACCTTCTGGCCTCTTCTTGTAAAGTGAAGGTAGCCAGTAACACTTTATGTGCCTCGGAACAAGGAAACACTTCGAACAATTTCTCGATTTCTAGAACCCATGCTTCGGCCTTTAATGGTTCAAGGCCTCCCTGAAAGGATGGTGGTTTCATTTTACTGAACTTCTGTGTCAAGGCAATTATATCGTCATTAACATTTTGCTTCGGTTGAACTGGAGGAGGTGGGGGCTGTTGGTTCTGTTGTAGCCTCAAGGCCTCAATCAACAGTTCAACCGTTCTTTCTAATCTTGCCATCCTTGCCTCAGATGATTCGGATTCATCAGCATTTCGTGCATTGTCCATTTCACTATAGGCAATATGGTAATAATAAACATAGGTCATTGGCATTCCTTGCATTGTCCATTTCACTATATGTAATACAGTAATAATAAACATAGGAATTGCTTACTTAACACATTAGCACATTAGCACATATATTCATGTCAAGGTCACACACACTTTTTCAATGCTCATGCAATGCCCTATTCACTTTTTTAGGACATCCTATAGTTCATTTGGACACGTATGTGCGGTATAACTCGTGCTTTAGCAACGCTCTGATACCACTCTGTCACGACCCAAACCTGCCCCTATGGGTTTAGCACCGTAACCGGCTAGTTATCCGTGATTACCGAAAACCTGCTTAACATTAAAGACAGTAGTACAGGCGAAAACCAAAACAGTAAATAAAAGATGTCCAATGAGCTGTGACAATCTGAATGCAAAAAGACTTTTCTGAGCATATTCACATTCAAAACCAAACAGTATATACATACATCATATACAAACATTCAGGTTAGGGACCAAATCCCTACCATAACAGTACAATGCAAGTCTTAACATTTATTACAGAACAGAGGCAAAAAGGGGAATTTAAAACACCCCAAAATAGCCTTGGCTTGACACACTCGGAACCTCAAAGTGAGGCATAATGGTTGGCTTTGACAAAACGGGAGCTTAGCCTGACGCTCCTAGCTTCGGTCCGGTGTCTGGACACCTACATATATATATAAACAGTGAGCTAAAGCCCAGTGAATAACAGCTATGTAAAGAGGTTAAGAATGAATGTCCTTTCAGTAATTAAACAGTCATATAAGTCACTTAGAAACCATAGCAGTCATATGTGGTGCATCCCATAGCAAAATAGTACAATAGGTCTTAACAGACCGAACAGTCAGTTGATGGCCATCATAACAGTAACAGTAGTGGTTCCAAACATGAGAACCGACAAAGATCTCTGTGTCAGTAGCAGTAACAGTAAATTGCTATGGATGCCACGAATACAGTTTACAAATAGGACAGACATTCATTCATTAAACAATAATGTTTCAGTAAACAGAACAGTTGATCATTCAGAAAATAATCATAATTGAACATATCTTTACAACATTGTTACTCACAGAGCACTGGGCTATAAGCAGCTAATGAGCGTCCTCGGATGCCAACCTTACACAGTTACAGGATGAACACACACTAAGTTACACACTCGGGAATCAACAACTTAGTCCCTATCTTGACTCGGTGTGGTTCTACATCAATATCCTTATTAAGATGCCTTAAACATGGCCTAGGAATGCCTAGGATGGAAAGAGGATGCAAAGATGCACTTTAAAACACTTTTCAAAATTTTCAAAAAGGGGTCTCGCTCGAGCGTGGCTTTCTACGCTCGAGCGGACATGCAGACAAAGGATCTCCGCTCGAGCGTCACTTCCTTCGCTTAAGCGGACTGTAAACTTCATGAAAAGTACTGGATGCATGTAATTCACACTCGACGACGCTCGACCTCCGCTCGAGTGTGAGACTCAGGTCCTCGCTCGAGCGTGAACTATCTCGCTCGAGTGGACTGTAAAACACATGATCTTCTGGGCGTATGCATTTCACGCTCAAGCGTGACTTTCCACGCTCGAGCGGAGATGCACGACTCAGAGTGTACACTCGAGCGTGAAGTCCTACGCTCGAGAGTGGGTCCAAAATCTGGAATTTCCAGATTCATCCCCAAGCACAAAACTCAACTTTAAAAGCCTCAAATTCGATCCTTTTGGGCCAATTTTCTGGAAAAACACTTTAAACCCATAATATAACATGTTTTGAAGATCAATTTGTAAAATCAAAGCCCAAAGGTAAGTCAATTGAACACAAATTTCAAATAAACTTCAAGAACAAGATATACATTTAACACGCATGTGTTCAATTGAATCCAAAGCTTCTAACACATGATCAAATGAGTCAAACCTTCCAAAAACATGATGAATTCTTGAACTATAATCAAAATATGAACATACATGTAGCAAATTTCATGGAAAAGACCTCAAAACTCAAGAATGTGTACATGCATGCATGAATTACTACTCAATTCAACATATTAAGCTAATTCTTGCCTTAAATCACTAATCTTTCCATGAATCATGCAAGAAACAACTTAAATTCACAATCAAGAAGATGAATCTTTACCTTAGGTCTTGAATTTTAAGGTATAGGAGCCTAATGTTGTAAAACTTCAAATTCTTCAAGTCTCCAAGCTAAATGTCTAGATGAAATCAATTTCTCCTATCTCCCTCTCTCCCACGGTTTAGGTCTCAAGAATGAGTGAAGATTAGTGTGACAAGAACGAACTAAGCTCCAAACATGTATTAACAAAGTGGCCCACTAGTATGGCAATTTGGTAATTAACCCAAACTAATGTAATTTAACTTTATTTAATCTAACTTAGTCATTCCAAATCAAATTTCAATTAAACCTACCATAAATCGCATAAATTCTAATTAGCATATAACACTAATCAGTTTCAGATTCGGCCGCTGATAAGGAATTCAATTTGCAGTTCAAAACTTAAAACATGAACAGATCAATCAATTGATAAACAGATAGAAATGCAATCAAACAACATACTCATGCAATCAGTTTAGGATTTTATCATAATCAGTTACTTATCATGTTCAGTCACAGTTTAGCAGTAATCAGAGGTGAGGGTTGTCACAGTTCACTAGTTAGCCAGTAAGTCCGATATGCTTTCACTAGAGGAGGTTCAAAGCCAAAAGCTACCTATCTCGATATGGTGTATCTTCTTAATGTACTCTTTCTTTGTCTGCATGTTGTTGCTTGTCCGTTCTTGTGAATTCTATTCATATGGAGGATTATTGGAAAATGGCTTTGAGAATCCTTATTTTTTGCTTATTTGAGCATTAATTAAGGTGGGACCCAAGTATTATTTTTAACATTTCTAATTGGGTTCATATTTAATGTCACGTAGTGAATAAAATCGTGTATTTGGTTGCTCAAAACCATTTCCGGATGAATAAGAATTCAGCGTGCATTTTCGGGTTTGTAAATATGTATTTAGGTGGGTTTCTTACATATTTGTGAAACATGCTTGTCCCATATTGGAAAGACTTAAGGATTTGAATGGGTTTATATACCTTAGCTTGGGATACTTGGGATGGGCCCCACGGGGTACCCAAGTTTGTGGAAGGGTGAGGTTATGGGCGAAGTGGGTTAGACCCATTGGACCCAAAACAAAACCACACGCGCACGCTGCCGCCGACCGATCGGTCAGGAGGGCTAAGCTTGGGTGCGTAGTGCGAGGTTGGGTTGGGCTTGTCCGGCCCAATACTTATCTTTTTGGGCCAAAAATATTTGTAATTTATTTCTTTATTTTTTATTTTGTTTTCAAAATTAAAAATAAATTGGTCAAGAATTTTTCTTTCACCCAAACAGATCCTTAAGACCCATCCGAACAGGTTCAAAGGGTTCAAAACATGTTCAACTCAAACTGAATCTGTCCAAACAGATTCAAATCTGTCTGGCACCTGTTCAATCTGTCCGAACAGGTTTATATTTGTTCGGAACAACCACCATTCTGCCTATATAAAGCATGCTTTTAGCAATTCAATTCATTCAATTTTTCTCTCAGAATTTCGTCCTTTTTCTTCTGTTCTTCCTATGTTCTTGTATCTGTTTCTGCATTTATTTTTTTAGGAAGAAAAAGAGAGAGTTACAATAGAGTTTTGGTTTGCCAGACTTGATTTTATGGTGCTGTAAAATCAAGTGTTAATCGTTGCATCCTGAGAAGTAGATGCCGGTAAAACTCGAAGCACCAGAGCAAGGGTGAAATCTACTTTAAGGATATTGTGTCCAACACAAGTCTCGACATTAATTTCTATAAACGTTTAATTCGAAAGATAATTTATATAATTGTTTTCTGAATTATTTTATTTTATTATTTATTTAATTTATGTATTTAATTTGCACACACTACTGTGGGTATGGCAGTTTCTTTAGACAAATACTAACAACTGCCCGTAGAGCAGAGCATTATTTAATATTGGGATTTACATTTCGAAGTGTTTTTGGAAATGATGGAAATGTTTAAAAGACAAAAGGTATAAATTCACTAGAAAGTTTTTTGAAAATAGTAAAATGTATTTCACATTCTTCATATTTCTCAGGGACACTTGTTAGCAATACCCATATCTTTAAAGAGCAATGGTAAAGGGCCCAAATTCTGTGGCTCAAATGTGGCTCAAATAGCCAAAACGACGTCGTTTTGAGTACAAAACAACATCAAAATGGCCAAAACGATTTGAGCCACATTTGAGCCACAGAATTAGGGCCCCCAAACATTTTTCATCTTTAAAACAATTACAACTCATTTTTGCGGTGTTGCTTTCTGAATATCATCTTTGTTCAACCAAAAAAGCAGCCAATTTAGTTTTGGAACTGTGCTTAGCAACATGTTTTGTACATATATATATAGAGAGAGAGAGAGAGAGAGGGAGAGAGAGTGAGAATTTACTGCTGCTGCATGTGTACAGGTTCTGAAGGTATTTCCATTCCCGGCAACAGTAACAGCGTTTCAATTTGGTTGTGGGACTCTGCTTATTTTGTTAATGTGGGCATTTAATCTACATACGAAGCCGAAGATTACTAGATCACAGGTATCTCTGTTAGTAGCTTGTCTGATTTTCACTTAAATTATGATTTATATGTGATGGAAATGTAAATTTTACACGTTACTTCTATATATTCACTTTTCAGTTTGCGGCAATCTTACTGTTGGCTGTGATACACACGATGGGAAATCTCTTGACCAACATAAGTCTTGGAAAAGTTGCTGTTTCATTCACTCACACAATCAAAGCTATGGAGCCCTTCTTCACTGTTGTCTTGTCTGTACTGTTCCTTGGGGAGGTAAAGGACTTTTTGCTCTCTTATTTCTCTGAACTGCCATGGCTGAGTCGATAATTCTGAGGATTATGCAGTGTAACATCACAAATGACATCATTGGTTTGTGGAAATTTTACAAACACAAAAATAAACTGTGCTTGTCATGCATCAATGAGATTAACAATGAATGGTTGCTTAATTACCTCCTTTGATGCCCTTGTGAGATGCTTGAACTAAATTTTCTACTGAAAAATTAAGAAGCAATTAGTTTTCCAGGATACTCCAATCTTTATTTATTTGGTGCTAATCAAAGATATAACGTAGCTAGCATAGAGAAGTTAGGGCGAGTTGCCTATTTGTCGATTCCATTAGGGGCATGAGCATTATAGAAGCAAAATTTGATTATTTATTTATGTTTCCTTTTTCTTTGTTCGTATGCTTGCTTGTCGGTTTCCTTGTGTATTTTATAATCCTGTATATCTAATATGAATCTGGAAAAGAAAATTACTAGTTTTTATGCCAGTTCACCATTTCCCTGAGTTCTGCTCTCCAGCTGATTCTGGTTTTTTTGTTAATCAATTCTTTTAGACTAAGAATTGTTTCGTGGAAGATATTGGTTGACAAATTGTAGGAAGATATTGCTAATTCACCTTGTTGTATACCATCATCAAAGCTGTGTAACTTTTTCTTTGATCATCATGTGCATACAGAGGCCCACTCTCTGGGTAGTTTCTTCCCTTGTACCAATTGTAGGGGGAGTGGCATTGGCATCGTTCGCCGAGGCATCTTTCAATTGGTATGACACTAATTGAAAATTCTCTTAAATAAAGAAATTAACAAATCAAAACCCTTGAAATTTTGAAGTTTGGTTCTGACATGTGATGCTTTCTTTTGTTTTGAGACAGGATAGGTTTCAGTAGTGCAATGGCTTCCAATTTGACCAACCAATCACGCAATGTACTTAGCAAAAAGTTCATGGTCAATAAAGAGGTAAAAATTCATAACTCAGATACAAGTTCTAATTTTCCACGTTGTCTAATCATCAAAGTTCCACAAAAGACCTTTCTTTGCTTGCACATTTGGAAAATGACAGTTCATTTTCTTGATTCATGCGAACTTGTCACAACATTGTTGTTGTTGTTGTTGTTTTTTTCCGCTTAATTTTAACCAACAATGTACCATAAACAGGAAGCTTTGGACAACATCAATCTCTTCTCAATCATAACAATCATCTCCTTTGTACTGCTGGCCCCTATTGCTATTCTCATGGAAGGAGTGAAGTTTAGTCCATCATTCCTGCAGTTCGCTGTAAGTGATATATGTCTAACAAAACGGATTGCCTCAATTTGTTATGCATAGTGTTTATAGATCAGTTTCTGTATCCCACATGATACACATTTCTATATACCTGGTTTCAGGCAAGTCAAGGTTTGAATGTTAGAGAGTTGTGTGTGAGAGCTCTCCTGGCTGGTTTTTGCTTCCATACTTATCAACAGGTGAGGCTTCTCATATCTTGTGTTTTCATGGCCTAGAACATTACAAATCACTGCATTTGTTACATGAAACACCACAATATTTTGAAATTAATTAAAGATCAAGCACAATATAACTGTTACTAAAGTGGCAAAAGTTTTGGTTAAACTTCAGTTTCACCAATGGATATTCAGTGCTAACACTCATTTTATGATAATCACACCCCTTGATTAGTCAACAAAATGCATCATTATCTCTTTCTTCAAAAAATTTTATTTTTGGGGACTATGTTTTACAGAATGGGTCCATTCTGTCATGAAAACAATAATTGGAAAAAAAGAAGAAGAAGAAGACTATATTTGATCAATTTTACTTAAAAATATCATGTAACTTATCCTTTTGGATTCTGACTGTCAGGTTTCTTATATGATATTACAAATGGTGTCACCGGTAACCCATGCAGTGGGAAACTGTGTGAAGCGAGTTGTGGTCATTGTGTCCTCTGTTATCTTCTTCCAAACACCCGTTTCGCCTATTAACGGTCTCGGTAAACCCTCTATGACTAACATGTTACTGGTAAAAGATGCCTCTCTTCACACTTGCTTGGTTAATGCTTGGTCTGTGAACTGGGTGAGTTTTAATTGCAGGAACTGCTGTGGCGCTTGCTGGTGTCTTCTTGTATTCAAGAGCGAAGTGCATAAAACCAAAGGTTACATGACTTCAAAACGTGAAATTAGTTTGTGTCTTAACAGAGATTCCAATTTGATTGGCGGGACGGAGTTGCATACAGTCAATTTTCCATAAACTACTTTCGCACTATCTTTTTCATTGTTAACCTGAATTGGCCCATCACAATATCCTAATAAATTCTTACCAGTGACTAATGTTTCACCAAATTTCACTGTGTATACAAATTTTGATTCTTCTTACGCTGTTCAGTGGTAGAAGTGAGTTTTCATGTGCACAGTAGTGGTAGAGCAAGGTGGAGAGAGGAGAGCAGAAGAAAGAGCTGATTTGCAATGGACAACGGATAAACCATCTTACAAAAAAACAAACCAACCACCATAGCAGTCCCGAGCATCATTTGCATTTCAAAGATAGACAGACAGGATAAAGATACAACTCAATCAATACCTATCAACATTAACACCACACAGATTAATTTAACATGGTGAACAAAATATTTGTCACATATGCCCTCTTTAATCCAAATAACATTTAACGCTTCCCTTTGGCAATGTTATTGTCAATCTGACGATACTAGAACATGTAATTTTTAATAAAGTAAATTCTAATTTAAGATGTCCAATTATAGTCTTTGAATCCTAAAAATTAAAGGATGCACCCCACCAAAAGTCAATTTCACAACCTTGCGCCGTTACAGTACAATTACAGCACCCCCAACTCCAACACTACCCCTTCCACCCCCTAACAAAATTTTTGAAAAAAAAATTACAGAGTAAAGCCATTGACAACAATCAATAGTCAACCCTAAGGCATTGACAACAATCACTACCAACCCCGAGGCAATGACAACAACATATAGTAACCCTAACACATGGACCAAGATTACGGAGAAGAGGTACGAGGATTCTCATCTGCTGCTTTGGGCATGCAATCTTCATCCGGGTGTATCATGCCTTCCTCCTCTTCTTCCTCTCCTTCCCCCAAGTAAGACAACCGTGGTCCATTTGCGATTCCCCGCTCCCTCGGAGCGTCAACATATGATCCCCTGAGATTTTCCTTCCCACGGCCATCAGATGGGGACCGTGATCGCTCACCAGGATGACTCTTTGGATCCACAGAATTCTTGAATCCCCTTGCATTGTCACTGTTGTATGGTGACACACGTTTATGTTGGGATGGTGGGGGCGATTGAGCATGCTCCACCACCCGTTTATGAAAACTGCGTACTGGGGAACGTTCACGTGCTGGTGGAGCCCTGCCGTACTTGTCAGGGCTACGACTACGGCTCCGGGCCGTTCTAATCCGGCAGTCACCCAATCCTGAACCCTTGTTTGGGCTTCTACTGCGGCTGCGGCTTCTACTTCGGCTGGGATCTCGAGCACCATCTCCAACACGAACTATCCTTTCGTGGAAGCTCCTATGGTGGTAAGTCCCTGGACCATCCACGTTGCCATTGAAGCTGCGACCATACCTGTCACTATATTATGAAGACATTAATCCCACCATTACTTCTCAAAATACAAAACACAGATATACAATGGGAAGGAAAATTTCATGCAGCTCAGATTTTATTCCCATTGTATAAATTAGGTCTATTACTGATTGATTGATTGTATGTACCTGTCCCGAGATTCTCGGTCAGGACCACGTCCACCACCTCTTTCTGGAATCCCCCAACTGCCCCTTCCTCCATCCCTTCCACTGTAGTTGGAGTCATTCCGTCCACCACGGCCTGCATCACGTCCACCAGAGCTAGAACCCCATTGACGTCTAGCCCTGCCCATTCCACCACCACGTGAAGCCTTATCACGGAGTTCAACTGGGACACGCTGGTTTGCCCCTTCTAAAACTTTGATGAGATCTGAAGCATGCTTTGCATCTTGGTCACCAAAAAACGTGTAAGCCACTCCAGTGGCACCCGCCCTTCCAGTCCTTCCTATCCTGTGAACATAGTCCTCTACTCCCGTAGGGAAGTCATAATTGATAACCACCCTGTGATAGAAATGGATCAACACACCATCATTGCAGCAACTTTATAAAAATATTTCATATTGGAACCCAAAAAAAAAAGAACTGGGAGAAGAAAAAATTAGAACACCACCTCTGCATGTGTATATCAAGCATTTATAATGGAATTGAGAAATCAGAAAATATAGCCCAGTCTCAGTGCACTGAGGACAAATAGCTATATATTGAAAAAAAAAACCAACCTGATATCTTTGATGTCTAGTCCACGAGCTGCAACATCAGTGGCTACAAGCACTGGACACCTCCCAGCGCGAAACTGGTTCAACACGTAATCCCTTTCACCCTGGGATTTATCACCATGAATGGCAGCAGCTCCAAACTGGCGGATTAGGCTACGAGACAGTTGATCACACATCTTCTTGGTTGAGCAAAAGATAATGATCTTAGATCCTGGTTCTTGAGATCGCAATATCTGCTCAAGCCTCCTGTGTTTCTCCATGGGTGACAAGATTTCAACATACTTCAAGCAACCAACAACAAAACACATAATTAGGCATTATAAACATCCAATATAAAGTACTACGGAGAAACTCAAAATCTATATAGCAGCTAAATGTTGAACTCCCCAACAAGAGAGAGAGGAACCAACACGAAGGTAGGAAATTGTACCTGGGTGATAGCCTTGTTGGCAACAAGCTCATCAACATTTCCAATGTTAACCTGAACAGGATTGACCAGTAGATCAGCTGCAATTTTGCGAACCTCCTTAGGCCATGTTGCAGTGTACATGAGGGTCTGGCGGCGAGTAGGCACCTCCTTCACAATCTTGCGTATCTGTGGTTCAAACCCCATGTCCAGCATGCGATCTGCCTCATCCAACACCAAATAAGAGACTTGATGGAGGCTCACTCTTTTCATCTCTATAATATCATTCAAACGACCAGGAGTGGCAACCACAATATCTGTGCCTCTATCTAGATCTCTTAATTGGTGAACCTTTGGTGCACCTCCATACAAACACTAAAATCACAAAATCACATAAAAAACCAACATCAGTCACAATATACATATATTTTTCATTAAGAAAGTATGTAAACTAACTATACAATCTATTAAATAATTCTCATATTAGATATTAAAAAAACTAACCCAAAAATTATCCCAAAAAGGCAAGAATGAAGCAAAATTATTTGGAAAGAAAAATTGGGAAAGCATGAAAAAGCAAATAGAAAGTAAAAATGGCTGACAAGAGGAGATCATGAGTTCACAGATGTACGAAAGGACATTTATGATATATATCTGAGAAAGATAACAAGAATGACAACATTACTAATCCTTTTGAAGCCGTTAAGTCACCAAAAATCAAACAAAACGAACCATTAATATCTATCAATTTAATAATTTTTTTCTTTGAATTAGGGGAACTGATTAAAACCTATGCTAGAAAACCATAAATAGGATAAAAATAGCCAATCATCCACAAAAGAGCAAAGCGAAGAAACCAAATCATAAAATCAAGACTAATTCAAGAACATTAGGATATAGCAACTCTGGTACACAAAACAGAATCCGTTTTTTGAACAAGAACACAACAAAGAATATTCAGAGAATCAGAAACATCATACCGTGCAAGATAATTTTGATGACTTTCCAAACTTCACGGCTTCCTCCTGTATCTGAGTTGCCAGCTCCCTCGTTGGTGACAAAACCAAAACAGTCGGACCCAGTTGAGGATTATTGTGGCGGCGTTTGAGATGCATAAAACCTGGAATCAAATAACCCAAGGTTTTACCTGAACCTGTCTTGGCAATGGCTACAATGTCACGACCTTGAAGAGCGATCGGCCACGACTGTGCCTGTATTGGAGTAGGTGCAGAAAACCCAGCATGGTGTACCTGGAAAAGCAAAAACCAGCAACCCCCATAAGCAGAGGTATCGGCTTCAAGATTTCTGATTGGTTTCTTTTTGGATTCATGCGAGTGGTAATGCAAGAAGAAGCATCATCTCCCACATGTAGGCAGGCAATGCTTGCTGATGCAAGCTAGAGCAGGAGGCGCCTCTTCTTCTGATCGGACCAAGTGGCAGACTGAATCATCACCAACGGCAGTCTCCGCCACGAACTTGGGTGATTCGGAAAGCCCTTCTCAAAATTGGTCCACCGTATAAGGGCGCTCCAATATTTGCAAGCCCCCCAAAAGAGGGCGGCACAGCGTACGACATTTAGCTCCTCCCAGGAGCAAATATCGCACCTGCGACAAAAAGGACAGATGGAAAACAATGAACATGAGTCTTGAAGCTCGACATCAGACCTCCATCAATCATAGAACTTTTACACAGAAAACACTCAGAATGCATAATAGGTCAGTAAACTTACATAGAGTTCTAGCCAAAGCAGAGTTGCATAGAGATGAAAGAATCCCATACCTCTCTAAGAATCTCTGAAGGAAAACCGGTAGCTTCAAATGTTGTAAGCGGAGGGGGCACATTATCTCCCTGATAAAAATTGACAGACAAAACCACCCAAAATCAATCACAACAGTATAAACTAAAAAATAAAACCATAGATGGATACATATTGGAAAACTCAATGAAACCTTAAAACTCATAACAGACTAGAAAATAGTGCCCACATGTCCACATGACTAAATCCATGTCTCATGAAAACTAAACTCAATACAAATTCCAACAGCAAGTAATAACTTACAAATTTTTATCATACTATTCTACACTGAAAGCAAGAGTGTTCTGCTTGAGAACCTCTCTGCCTTCGCAATCTAAAGAAAATCAAATAGTGACTCAAGGTCATTAAAAATAAAAAACTAAGCCAGCTGAAATATTGAAAGTGAATGCAACACCAATGTTCAAACAAAAGGAATGCCAAAGAAAAACGGTACATTTTTTTATTTTATTTTAGCAAACCTCATGTAAAAACTCGTTAGAAACTTACAGAAACACTTATTTCATGCCGACGGCGATAACATTCTGCAGATGAACCATTTCCTATACTCAAAGGCCCATAACCTCTGCCAGAAGACCCTCCATGTCCAGCACCTATTTCCCCATTAGGAACATTGTGAGAATGATCTGATCCACCTTTCTCACTCTAATGCAAAATAAGAACATCTGGGTTAGTAACATCGAATATGAAGGAAAAAAGCATAACAGAAGTTGAGACCATGGACAATAAACATATATTCTATTGCTGCAAATTAAAAGTTCAAAGATATTCCCTCAATTCCAAGCCACTTCTTCCACCCAACCACAACATTTTAGCTGTCAAAAAAATATATGCAACAACCACCCCAGGCAAAACTAAAACATTCAGATGAATTAAGAACTCTCATTACAATAGAAAACCATAATTAGCAATGAATTTAAGAATGCAGCATATCTTGGCCTTTACATGCTTGACTTCAAGAAGTAGACAAAATGAGATGTATCATGTATGAACATCCACAACATGGGGCCCATCAATGGACTCGAGGTGCCACAGATGTAATATTTGTCTATCTGCTTTTACAAACAAAGTTCCTAATACCTGTGCAGAGAAATTAACAAATTTATTGCTCCTCCTAATTTACTAGCTAAGTTCCAGTGACTAAGCTTCTATAATGAAATTCATTTAAAAAATCAAGCTATATATACTGAAGACAACCACATTCGTCTAAATTAGAAACACTCAATTCATGCATACACTTCCCAACAGCCACTGCACAATATCAACAGAGCCAGTTTAAAAGTCAGATCACTCGGATGCAATACATATTCAAGTCTAGTCCACAATCTTGTTAACTTTATCCCCAAACAACCAGGCATTAACTCCCAATCCTAGTGCATCTCTTAAAAAACAAAATCCATGATCACTATTCAACATCCCAAGCCAAGCAAAATCAAAGAACGGAAGCCTAAAGCAAGTATCATCATCCAACTTTCAACTGAAAACATCCAACAGGTTGATGGGTTCATATATTTAAATCTATCACAAAAAGAGGCAACTTGAGTGACACTAGCAACAGCATTACAACACCACTGGACAACTCTGATAACAAAACATGAAAACAAGCAAGAAAGTTTTGCAAACAGGAGTAAAAGAAAGACCTGATAACTTCTTGTTCCTGAAGCAGGCTTTAACCCACCATTGCTACCTCTGCTATATCTATCGTCATCATCATTGTAACCGCTTTTACGACGTTGTCCTTGAGAAGATTGTTGAACTTGAACAGAAGAACTTATATGTGCTGCAGACGACTTATGTGGAGCTGAGCCTGTATGCGAAGATGCAACAGGCCTCTCGTACTGAGTGACGTTGGTATCCGGATTCCAGAAGTAAAGATAACCCGTTTTACCATCAACTAGACCTTTCCAAGGCTTGGGAAGAGTGGGGTCCTCTGGAGCGTAACGGGGAGCAGCAGCCGCAGATGCCATATCAAAGCTTCAATCTGAAGGGAATCTACAGCAGCAGAAAATAGAAATGCATATATAATCAGATTGGTGGTTCTCTTGACTTTGGGTTGGGGTTTTGGAAGGGAAGTTGCAGAAACCAAAAAGTAAAATGGAAACTAGAAAGCAAACTTCACTAAACTAACAAAGTTATTTAAAAAACCATAACTCAGCAAAGAAAACTAATCGAATATAAATCCAGCAAACACTAGCTATAGTAAACGTATCTATGAACCAGTAAGAAGAAACCTACAGGCTAGTAAAACTTAAATATCTGGCTTAACTCTACAACACAAGATTAGTTTTTTCTGTTGCAAAACTAAGGCAGATATTCCTGATTCTATTACTCTCCAATCCAATTAAGATTAGTTTTAAGTTTTTCAAAAAAAAAATAAAATAAAATAATTTAGATATTACAACTTATGACAAGTCCAATAGTATTTGCTAAAATAATATGTGAAAATTTAAATGCTCATTTATAGGTGAACAAGTAAAAAAAAAACACATGTATTTTACAAACGGGACCCAACAATATCTCAAAATGATCAAAATGGAAAATATAAGCAGACTAAAAGAAAATAGCTAGGGAAAATTGCACTTCCGTGTAAGTTTTCAAAAAAATTTGCAAATCATTGGTAAACTTTATTAATTTTAATAATTAAAATTATAAAATTTTCCATGAATTTGTAAATATTTTGTGAAAATATGAGTAATTTGTAATTTTTCCAATAGCTATATGTGACCAAGAGAAGAAAACTTCAGACAGGAAATAACGAGGAAATAACGAGTGATCTTTCCTTAGGCCACTACATTAAATTCAAAGAAAATCCCCTATACGACATGCATAAACCCATCATACGAAAATCAAAATCATACAGAATGAAAAATTAAAGAACTAATAGCTACAAAAATCAAATAAACATAGCACGACAAATGAAAATTATGGAATTCAATCAACAAATACGTATGCATACACAATATTCCAACATGTAATTCACAAATTTCATACAGATTCGAAAGTATATCAACGAGATTTCATTTCTACACCACAATTATAAATTCACGATCAACAAATATTGAAAAAAAAAAAAAAAACTTAACCTACATGCATCTCCTCAAATATCTTCCCCAAAAAAGTAATAATTTGGATCATAGAGTTCAAAAACAACGATCGATCTCAAAAAGGCCCTAATTTGAAACCCTAGATTATTATTGCAATATAATTAGATGTAGTTACAGTCCTTAAAAATCAGATCTAAAACACTTAGAAGAAACGTAAAATGATTTGAGATTCAATTGGGGGATTGATTGTACCTGGAGCCGCCGATTTGAAGAGAGCCGTCGAAGACGAATACAAAATAAGAGGCGAGAAAAGCTCTACTTCTTGGAAGGACCTTTTTTCTCTCTCTAAAACTCTCTCTCTCTCTCTCTCTCTCTCGCTAAAACACTCTCTCTCTCTATATATATATATGGCGGTGGTGGAGGAAACTACGCTCCCGGTGGCCGAGAAGCGTAGGGAGAGAGAAGAGACGGACGCGTTGTGGATATTTATAGCAATGGCCAGAAATGGGATTACATAACGTCATCGGATTTTATTAACCATGGTTAAGGCCTTTTTTTTTAATTTACCTATTCATCGGATTTTATTAACCATGGTTAAGGCCTTTTTTTTTAATTTACCTATGGTTCGATTATGAGGATGACCCAGCAACGAAAATAGTATCACATTCACATCACATATTGAGAAGCCTGATCTGTAGATATCGAGCGTCTGATTGTGGGCAAGTTTTCCGTGTTGTTATTCCGCGGAATAGTATATTCCTACTAAATTCAAGGATGCTCCCGGAGGATAGTGGGTTGTGTTTCCGCACTGTACACGAGTAAATATTTTTCGTTTTCATACAATTTTTTTTTTTTTTCTATTTTTTTTTTTAATCTAGCATTATTTTGAATGACATTGTTGAACTTAAAACGGTGAATTATCCAACAGGAGTCTATTTGTTTGGAGGGATTATTTCATGGATTAATAGTGGATTGTTTGGTATTTTTTTTTTTATTCTGGATTAATAGTTCCTTCGAACTATTAATTCCTCATTTGAAGAATTATTGTATCCTAGGAGGAGGAGTGAGATTATTTTCATGGGATTGATATCTTATAGGACTAATATATAAATGTCTATTTTACCATCATGCTATTACTTAATAAACAATTGAAAAAAAATAAAATAGTCTTTTAAACATTTATAAATTATTTTTTTAGTGTTGTTAATTTAAAATTATATATTAAATAAAAAATATAAATTATAAATTTAATTTAATTAAAAATAATAAATTAAAAATTATGGCCTTATAATTTTTTTAGTGTTGTTAAAAAATTAAATTTATATATTAAATAAATTTATTTTTTTAGTGTTGTTAATTTAAAATTAATAAATTATAAATTATGACCTTATAAATTAAATTTTTTTAGTGCTGTTGAAAATTTAATTTATATATTAAATAAAATTATTTTTTATTGTCATTAATTTAAAATTATATATTAAATAAAAAATATAAATTATAAATTTAATTTAATTGAAAATAATAAATTAAAAATTATAGCCTTATAAATTAAATTTTTTTAGTGTTGCTAATTTAAAATTATATATTAAATAAAGAATATAAATTATAAATTTAATTTAATTGAAAATAATAAATTAAAAATTATGGTCTTATAAATTAAAAAATTTTATTGTTGTTAAATTATAAGTTATAGATTACAAATTTAAAATTATATATTAAATAAAAATTATAAATTACAAGGGTAAAATAATCTTTTGAACATTTATTCTTATCCAGTTCGTCTAACCAATCATTGGATTAACTAAAAATAGTTCAATCCAGATATCTAATCCCATGACTAAACAAACATAGGATACAAATCCAGTCCAACCAAATAGTCCGAGAATAATGTATCCCAGAACTAACAGTCCGATAAATTACAATCCCTCCTTATCCAATTCGTCTAAACAAACACACCCCAAGTGTGTTGTCAGAAAATCCTTTTGAAAATCAAGTTAGTATCCTTAGAGAAAAAAGAAAGACAAAAGTAAAGATAGTTTTGAGTAAGGAAAGTTATAGACCTCTTGTTTGGTCGAGTCACACCTCCTTTATAAATTATTCCCTTACCTTTCAAGATTGTGTGCGTTAGTACCTTGCTCGTCATTTGCTAGACGCATATATGTATTGCTCTCTCATTTCTTTACACGTGTGCGCATTAATACTGCTAAACAATATCGACAAAACAGCCAAACAGTATTAACACGTACTATTGACGGGTTTTCCTCATCGCACTCCAATCAGGCCACATAGTATATGACAGCTAGGCTACCTTCAATCAAGCTAATTTCAATCAGTTAAGCCCCAGGTGGTTTCATGTCCGAGCTAGCTCTGATCAGTTAGCTCCCAAAGAATTCTACTAGCACATTTCGCTACGTTTTGCTCGATTAAGCGTCATTTACTCATTGCTTAGACGAACTCCGCGCGGCCCTTCGCCTTGACTAAGATTCTCAACTTGGTCGAGAGATGTCCTCGTCATCTTAGCCCGATCATTCTCCATTGTGCATACTTAGCTCGATTGAGATCCTTTGCTCGGTCTATATCCGACGGGACTTATCTCCGCTCGTAGTCCAAGCTCATTCAGCTTGGTCTAACACCCATTTCATGTTAACTCAGCTGCACAGTCAAAGGCCCATATGGAATTTATGAAGGCCTATATGGAATTTAGGTTGGCCCATTTGTTCAGCACAAATTCCCCTCTCACACACAATTGATTAGGTTCGAATCTTGGGTAAGATCATGAGAACGTATTTCCTTCTAAATTCTATAATCTTGGTATTGATGAATGATTAGTCTTCAACTGGAGATAAAAAGATTAATCGAGATATACGTAATGTAATTTGAACATCCTTAATCATCACTAAATAAAAAAGGGTAAATTATACTAACACTCCCCAAGGTTTGGCCCAATTACATCCCACCCCCTAACGTTCTGAAAACTATATTTTCACCCTTGTAGTTAGTAATCTCATTTCACAAACTCTCCTACTTGTATAAAATTCAACAGCTCCTTATAGAAAAACATATTAAATTACATTAAAAAAAAAATAAAGGAAGTAAAACAAAGTAAGAAAAGAGAGAGTGCATGAATTCAATATTTTCATTCCGTCTAAATGATTACAATGACGGGGTTAGTGTAATTTCCCAAACGTCAAGGTGATACGTATTAAACCCAAATCTTATGAGGTGTAAATGTAATTTACTCATAAAAAAATTTAAAACCTGTGAAAACCCATCTTTTAATTATTCCTTAAAGAAAATTTATTAATTAATTTTGTCTACAGTCTATCTGAATTATACATTAGTGTAAAAGTTAGTTTTAAATTGACTCAAATCAATCACTAACAAGACATTATTAAGAATAATAATTTTGAATCTTATGATGTAAAAAAAAAAAAAAATTGGGGCGTCACAAAACCTAAGACTATGTTTTGGAATAATACTTGGTAGCTCGAAAATAATTGGCCCGAATTGGCTCAAAACCCAAAATGAGAAGGAAGAGAAGGTGAAAAAAAAGGGGAATAAGAAGATCCGTATACACACAAATCTGTGTATACACAAATCTGTATATACACAAATTTGTGTGTGTATACACAGATTTGTGTATACACACAGGGGAGACGGTGATGGCGGCGTCTCATATATATATATATATATAGATATGTGTAGATAGATCTGTGTATACACACAGATCTAGTGTTGATGATGATTATTTGGTGTTGATGTCGATGATGATGATGATGTATAGATCTCTCTCTCATATATATATATATATATATATAAATATGTGGATGTATAGATCTGTGTATACACATAGATCTGGTGTTGATGATGATGTGTTGATTCTATAATTTTTTTTGTGATTGTTGGTTTTTGTTGATGATGATATAGTGGTGTCGATGTTGATGCTCTCTCTCTCTCTCTCTATCCCCAACTCCCTTCTCTCTTCTTCTTCTTCATCTTCATCTTCATCATCGCCTCTATTTTTGAGGGGAAAAAAAAAAATTCCAAAACGATGTCGTTTTGGAATTCGAGCTATTCGGGACGAGCCTCATTCAAGCTACGTAGCAGAACTGGTTTGGTTTGGTTTGGTTTGTATTTGTGAAACAATTTAAAAAAATAATTTTCTATAAAGAATTTATAAAATTTGAAAAATTATTTGATTATATGTTTTAAAAATAATTTTAGAGTTTTAGAGTTTGAGATTTTTTTTTTTTTTTTTTTTTTTTTTTGAATTGAAAAAATTGTTGGCATTTTTTTTTTTTGGTCCAAGTTAAGAGTGTAAAATAATGTGAGAGAATAAAAGAAGAGAGCAAAAAATGATTGATTGATTTGTAGTATAAAAAATAGGGAAAATTAATCTAAGGTCCTTCTCTCATTTTTAGTAATGGAAAAGATCCACAATATTATTTTATGATGTCTAAGGTCCCTCAATCCCACACCCATGTATTACAGAGAAATTTGGTATACCTCACAGCTTCAATCCTTCACCTCTCTCTCTCTCTCTCTCTCTTCTCTCTCTCTCAGACTCACGCCTCACCTCTTCTCTCTCCTCGCTGCTCTTCTTTCTCTTTCGTCGATCCAATTCGATCAATCCAAGATCCCTATGTCAAGGACTCCTCGGCCACTCTTGCTCCGATTGAACCGCCGTATGAAGGTCTTCCACCATGGCTCGGCGATGCCGTATGAAATGATTGATTTTGAGGATGAGCCTACCTTGAACAAGATACCCAATGAAGGCTATGGTTGGGTTGGTTGCACTACACGCTGCATGAGATGTTTAGCTTGTTTCCTAAATTGAATCTACCTTCTTAGTTGAGGTTGTTTAATATATATACATACACACAAATGTATATATATAATTCTGTACACTATTATATGAGACAAATATATAAATTTTGATTGATTGAGCTGAATTTTTATATTTTGAATTGCATAACTTGGAAGATAAAGCTCAAAAACATATATCTGCAATTGATTCCCTCGTTTTTTTATTCCTCCTTTCCAAGTAAGTTTTCTGTTTTTGTATTAAGCTGACCATCTCCGTGGCAGAGCAAACAACATCAATTTTTATTTTTTTTAAAGAAAAGAAATTAAATGATTAAACATGGGAATTGTTTATTCCAAGGCATATTTTGGGAAGTGATTTTGTTTTGGAATTTCTTTGGATTCCCAAAATTTCTCTAGAGGAAGAAGATGATGAACAAAGAAGATGATGATAAAGGCTTTAGGAATTTCTCTAGGAAGTCCAGAATTTCTCTGGAGAGAAATTTCTGTTTTCTGTTTTTGTATTAAGCTGACCATCTCCGTGGCAGAGCAAACAACATCAATTTTTATTTTTTTTAAAGAAAAGAAATTAAATGATTAAACATGGGAATTGTTTATTCCAAGGCATATTTTGGGAAGTGATTTTGTTTTGGAATTTCTTTAGATTCCCAAAATTTCTCTAGAGGAAGAAGATGATGAACAAAGAAGATGATGATAAAGGCTTTAGGAATTTCTCTAGGAAGTTCAGAATTTCTCTGGAGAGAAATTTCTCTGGGCTTCTCAGAATTTTCTCTGGACAAAGAAGGTGATGAAAGCTTTAAGAATTTCTCTAAGAAGTCTAGAATTTCTTTGAAGAGAAATTTCTCTAGACTTCTCAGAATTTCTCTGGACAAAGAAGATGATGAAAGCTTTAGAAATTTATTTGGGAAGTCCAGAATTTCTCTGGACAAAGAAGATGATGAAAACTTTAAGAATTTCTCTGAACTTCTCAGAATTTCTCTAGACAAAGAAGATGATGAAGACTTTAGGAATTTCTCTGAACTTCTCAGAATTTCTCTAGACAAAGAAGATGATGAAGGCTTTAGGAATTTCTCTGGACAAAGAAGATGATGAAGACTTTAGGAATTTCTCTGAACTTCTCAGAATTTCTCTAGACAAAGAAGATGATGAAGGCTTTAGGAATTTCTCTGGGAAGTCCAGAATTTCTCTGGAGAGAAATTTCTTTGGACTTCTTAGAATTTCTCTGTACAGAGATGAAAGCTTAAGTTAGAAATTTCTCTGGAAAGTCCGGATTTTCTCTGAAAAGTGAAGTCCAGAGAAATTTTCAGAATTTCTCTGGATCAGATTTTCTCTGAATCGATGTTAAAGGACCTTAGACATTATAAAAATATTAAGTGTCCTTTATGCTATAAAATCTTAATAACAGAGACCTTAAAAAAAATCTCCCTAAAAAATAATAAAAAAAAAAGATATGATTTTGATTTTTTTTTTTCAAAAATTTTCAACCAAACAAATTTTTGAATTTTTTCTAAAAAATTCTCTCTCAAGAGACAAACCAAATAAGGCCAATGTGTACTTTGTTCCAAAAAAAAAAAAAAAAAAAAAAAGAAAAAAAAAAGACAATGTATGCTCCTAAAAATGAAGGTGGTCTAGGACTAAGATAATTGGAAATACAAAATTGGTAAAGAAAATTACAAATCAGATCAGTTTTTTAAAAATAATTACATATATATGAAAAAAATTTAGGACTTTAATAATTACAATTTATATAAATTTTACCATTAATTTTTTTTTTTTGTTCAAAGCTCAACTAATTTGTGATTTCCCCAACTGAAAAGCAAAAAAAAAAAGTAAAAAAAAAAAAAATAATAAAAAAAAATCAATGTTCAAAATTTAAATCTATGGTGTACAATTAAACTTGGCATGTCATGACCAAAATAATCTAATTCACACATTTAAAATTTTGACTATTATTTGAAGTATGTATCATTGTCAAAAAGTATAAAAGAAAGCAATAATGATAAGGCATCTGTGGGATCTTAACAATAAATCTGATTATCTATGGGGTTAAATGAGTCCATAGCTATCCTCATAACTGGAAAATCCTCGTGGACTAAAAGAAAGATAATTTGACTCCTTCTTAGCTCTGCAAACAATTGATTTGTCTTTCAATGAAAACATTTACTTACCAGAAAAAAAAAAAAAAAAAAAAAAAAAAAAAAAAGAAAATAAAAAGAAAAAAGAACTAGGATGAGCTACAAAGTCATTGTCACATAATCTGACTAGGGAAAGGAGGCCTAGGGGATTTAAATTAGATACAAGTATTCTGGAAAAGTGGCCCTTCCAAATGAATTTTAATGTTGTTTCTCCATTATGCACTTGACCAAGTCTAGAATACGAAAATAATCATAGAAAAGTGCTGATTCTTTACCATCTAGCCCGTCCCTACTGTGCCGGTTGCTGCCTGCAAGGTTATTACACGGGCTTCCACCAACAACAAGATCAAAGCCACCAAGTGAATTTATGAGGTGCTCCAAGCGATCGCCATTTAGCTGTTGCACATCATCAAAGTCGATAAGGTTTCCTTGCTGGTTGGTTTGCTCCCACCAACTCCTGACAATGTTTCTGTTAACTTCAGATTTCTCAACTGATACGACATTCTTCAAGGGGATACCAAGCCGATGAAGGGCAACTTCTGCACCACCAATCCCGGAGAATAGAGATAAAAGGTTGATGCCTCCAGGGAATATGTCCTTTAAGGTAGAGAGGTGATAGGCCACTGTGTCAACCTGAAAAGAATTTATCCAAAAAAGAAATGACAAATTTGAGATTGGGTCGGTCCTGTGTTACCTGAAACGTGGATCGTTCTAGTAGGTGGAACGAGAATGGGAACGTGGTTTGTGCTCTAAAATGCAGTACAATAGGAGTAGACTTGTATAGTTTACACTCAGAATTTAAGGCACTTTTTTAGAATAGTTTTCTTTTAACAATTAGACATTTAATAAAACGTGAGGCATTTTGTTATTAGACATTTAACAATTAGACATTTAATAGTTTTCTTTTAACAATTAGTCATTTAACAAGAAGTAGCAACACATTTATATAAGCATTAACACTCATTTTTTATGTTTTGTACTGTCTAAAATTATATTTTAATTTTTTTTTACTCATATTGAATACTCTAGGAAATATATTGGGAAAAACTTTTGGGATTGCTTTAGATTATTAAATTTATTGTTTTGAAACGAAAGTGTACCATGTTTTGAAACGAAAGTGTACCATGTTTTGAAATGTGAATTCCAAAACATAACTTGCGCGGGTAGTAGCATTTTTTGGCAGCGTTGGTTGGGTCAATAAATATAAATAATGAATCAAAATAATAGAGAATCAATAAAATGAATACAAGAAGAAACACTCACCTGGAATGAATTGCCGAGTGATTTGTATCTGTCAGTCCTACTTATGCCACCACCTCTTGTGTGATTCTTGGGGAACCCCAATAGCATTTCCACTTCATCGGGTTCAAGGGGTGCGACCTTGTTCCTTCCTACCCAAACTAGATTCCACTTGCGACATTCATCAAGAACATATTTTTGCACATGTGAAGGTGGCGCACCATCCCAGTCTTCAAGAGACTTACGGATCCTCTCTGTCAGTTTTGCACTTCCAATGCAAGTCTGTAAGCAATTCAATTTTGTTCTTGAATCCCAAGAGGGCCACCATTTCTTTGTTAATGGCAGTGCTTCATGTATGGTACGCGGGGGGAAAGGAAGAAGAGGAAATCTATTACGGATAGGAAGATTGTGAACATATCCTCTTTTCCTTGCAGCTGCACAGAAATATTTTGAATCAACAAACTCCGGTTCCACATCATATAGGAATCGTTTAATAGTGTCCCAAACTCCTTTTGGAGTGAGGGCCACATTCTCATAATAGAAGTAGGGAGGCCCAATGGCTGTCTCTGGTAGGCTTCTATGTAATGTTAGACACGGATCTGTAGGGACTCCATAGCCAATCATTGGTATTGGAAGACGAATTGTCTCATCATCTCCATTCATTATCATTGACTCGTACTCCATTTGTTTTTTACTATTCAACAATTCACTCTCAAAAAATTTCCTCTTGTGGGTACCATTGCTGTCGGTACCGTTGCCATTATATATATGATTTGGCCTTGGCTTTGGCTTTGGCTGTGAAAATCAGGAAAGAATCAATTATGCAGAAATTTATTGAGTATGAACAGAATCAACAAAAACCAAGGAATCTAATGCATTCGTAATTTAAAAAAAAAAAAATTATAATTGTTGCAAAAAGCCTATTCCCTATCCTGAAAAGAGGTTAATTAAAAAAATACAAAAGAAAACCTCGTGCTCATCAGGTAGCTCCTGTGGGCGGACATTTGTTGTGTTTGCCATCTGAGCAGCGCATATAGAATCCGTTAGTTCAGCAATTGAGGCATCTGGACCTGCAATCATCATCATGAAAAAAGAATCAATCGAATAAACTATGTGCAGCTACACTACATAGGAGAATACACAAATCTTAGTGATATCAACCAGTAAAAAGGACTGGTTAATAAGACCGATCAAGTCTATATAGTTCACAGTCAGTATCCAAGTTCAGAAGCACATGGAAATTTAACACTTGAAGTTTAATAGGGCTCAAGTATGAGAAAAGTGTGGCTACACACTGCCAGAACCCCTTACAATTTTGTCTGGTTCATTAGAAATACAAGAAATAGTCAAAATATCATAGGAAATAGTCTGAATATCATAAATGCCTCACTGCTGTTAACTATCCCAAGGAGAACCACTTTGTGTAAATTATGCGAATGTTTCAGTTAGTCCCAATCTAACCCTCCAAGACCCCATCCAAATGACTAAGGCCTGAACCGGATCAAACAATATGATTTGAATTACAAATATGTTGGTTCTAATAAATAATAACTATAGTACCAAATCAATTGGTTAGAAACAAATATCCAGGTTGATAATTTTGTCACGGCACATTCAGGATGGAAAAAAAAATTGCAAAGCAAGAACTGCAGCAAATGACCTCCTTTATAGTGACATGCTTGGGCAATTCACAACATGCCAGTAAATATAGCATAAAGCATCAACAGCCCACACAATCAGAAATGATCAACTAATTCATATATTAATCATAACCCCTTGGTAACAGTAAGCCTAAAAAGACAACAACAAAAAAATATGATTAAAACAAACACAAAGATGGAAGAACCAAGTAAGTCTATAGTATGTTCAAATGGGAGGAGACCAAATATACAATTCTCCCACTCAGCAAAGCACTCAAATGAGAATAGAAGTGAATCAAGGAAATGCACACATGCAAGCTTCTTTGATGAAATATAAAGCAAGTCCCATGAGGAAAAGCAAAGTAGATTAAGATGAAAATTTTAATAACCAAAACAAAAATACCACAACCAACTCTTCGCATGAAGACAGATGACGTGCAAAATTACATATAGCAGAATATAAATTTGTAAACCTAAAAATGCTTTAAGAATAAACCAATATCAATATCAAATATAGCATAACCACCATCTGACAAAGCAACTTGCTACAGAAGCACAAATTTAACACAAGTACGCACCACATCTATTCATAGCCATTGAAGCCTCTTCCACTGTGTACCCCATATTTGCTAAGGACAATAATGTCTTCTCCTTACTGGACAAAGAATCTGTATTTTCCTGCCAAGAGAAATCAATTAAAAAGACCAAAATCTACACAATTAAACCAGGACGGACATACATCCCAAGGGAAATCCAAGTGTGTCAAATCCTACACATGTAGCAGGCAGCGATAATGCTACCTCTCAAAAGCATAACAGGTTACTCCCATGACATATCAGACAAGACTCTTATGTCTATCACAAAAAGTTAAGGGTAATTTGGATGGATGTGTATTTCAAATCAAGGGATTTGAGGTTAAAAATATTGGAGAGTCAGCTATTATAGGCGGAGAGAAAAACTATAAAAGCAGATAAGTTGAGACAAACAGAGATGTATTTTAGTAGGATATCTTTGAAAGTAGAAGAGAATCCTTAAAATGATTTCAGATAACTCCTGGTATATACTTACTTCAAATCCATCATGATAATGTTATTTAATTCAATACTTAAATTCATAGGTAAACTATCAAACACTGTAGGTTTTACGTTGTTTATCAACCTATCACAAACCCCTTCCTTGTTCTAGGCTTGGGACCAGTTGAGTAAAAGATAAAACACTAAGCACAACACATGATAAGTTCCAAACAGTCCTATATATTTCATTACATTTGTGCCTCTAAGACACTTCCAGTGAGAAAAGCGAGAATTCTACTGGTTGTTAGATCTTAGAAGAAGGGTAGATAACATGACTGAAATGATCAAGTATTACATATAACCAATCAACCAAAGTATTAAATATAGCAAAAAAGACAGCTACCTCATCTTTAGACCAACTATCTAAATCAGAGAGATCATCCAGAATGTTCTCATCATATTCCGAAGAGCAGTGATCAGAACTGACAGGTGGTTGCTGTTGGGGAGTGTCTTCAAGAGCCTGCAAGAGATTAGAAAATTAAGAATTCTAAAATGCGTACAACATTCCTTGAATAGGAGAAATACAATTCCAGGGATCATTGGATTAACTTAGGAAAAGTGGAGATTTCTAAGCAAGTAAAATTGTATCTCGGAAGCAGTTTCAACTCTGGAAAATAAATTAATGATCAGAGCAATTGTGTGATTAACCATGAAGATAAAGTCACATAATTACTGGAATTGGTGAGGGTGACGACAATTTACGAGCATCATGCCTAGGCATGATATTAGCCATCAAAGGGAAATATTGGACAGCGCAAGCAGAGCGTTATGTTAAAGACCGAACAAATGATATTGGTGTTGCCAAATGGCTTATACATCAATTTCCCATCTTGTAAGTAATCCCAAACAAACAGAAAGAACTTTTTGATACATCCCGATCAATCAAAACTCTCAATTATAAGACATTCACTGCATGAAGACTAGAACAGAGACTGAACACCTATGAGTATAATCAAATTTAAGCACATCAACTATTAGTGATACTAAGACGTCAAGATCTTGTGAGCATTTGATATGGCTAAGAACAAGTAGATTTGCAGAAGTGAGAAAACTCACTTTAATTTGCAGCATGACGATACATATGGCAGACATTAGTATATGATACTCATAGCATTTCAGCAAAAACAAACAATGATAGCTTCTCATGTGATATCTAAGGTCATGTTTCTATTCCCTAGAATACTGTTTTCCTTCTGATACTTTTATTTTTTTACAGGATTTCATGTGTGCACACTCGCATGTGTGGATATTAGAGTTGGTGGTTAATCCAGTTCAACTTCAGGTTAAAAAGTAGCAAGGATGGAATCTGTGAATGAGCCATATATTACTCACTGAGTATGTAAGCAAAGTTTCAAGGATTGATTCCGTATTTCCTTCATCTGCACATTGTACAAATAAAGTCATAAACTTTCCTCCCAAGCTGAAAAATATCCATCAAAAGTGTAACAGAGCAGTTACCATTCTCCTCAATAGCTTTTGCAACCATTTTCTCAGGAAACCCCATTCCTACAAAATGTTGAATCAACTTGGAGTTGGAACAACCTGTTGATGAGCTTGCCTGGAGACAAAAGGAGTGAACAGTAAGTTTATAGCATGAATAAGAATGTACCAAATCATAAAGAAAGTTTGTTAAAGAAACAAAAGCCGAAAAAAAAGAAACCCAAAGAAAGTTGAAAAGGCAAAAACCAAAAGGAAGCAAGCATATAAATAGTCAAGCGTAAAAGAAAACGAACATAACAAGTGTGAAACAAAATAAAGAAAAACGCCAATGCTCGGTCCAATCAATGGAAGCAGTACACTCCCAGTCCTCTTATGTCTATCACAAAAAGTTAAGGGTAATTTGGATGGATGTGTATTTCAAATCAAGGGATTTGAATGTAGTAACACATCTTATATATAATTGGCGCATAGGTGCAGTTGCATACCTCATATATAAGTACATTTGATAAATTTTATCATCATCTCATCCACATTTAGAAAGAATGACAATGTAAAAGATGGCATTGCCAGAAGCTTCAAGAAAAAATCTTATCATGGCAATCATGTCTAAAGGCCCAGCTCCCTTAAAAAAATTCATTTTAATTTTACCACGTAACTGTATGATCATTAGAAGAAATGTCCATATAAAAGAAGATCCCAACCAAGACAGCTTAACAGTTGGATGCAATTTTTTCAAGCAGCAGCCTATAGTGAAGTGTTATTGGCTATAGGCCAAGAAGTTCATAACATTTTAATTTCCTACAGAGGTTCAAAACATTTAACAATAGTGATAAGTAACTTAAAGGATTATTAAAAAAGAAAATGTTCGTAACAAATTCACCCATTTGTCAACAAATTAGGTGCAGCAAACACATAGGAAACTTGGCAGCAACTTCTGATATTTTTTATTTTTTTTGATAAATTTGACAGCAACTTCTGATATGAGCCCATAACATGTACCTCTCCAGCACCTACAATAGCTTCCCCACCAGGATTCGTCAAACTTGAACTGGAAGGTAAGGGAAAATTCTGAATTTCAAGTTCATCGTCCGTATCCCAGTCAATGTTGTCACTCGCTTCTCCAGAGGCATTCCCATCCTACAAAAAATAAAGCAAACCACAAAGGAAGAGAAAAGAAATCACAATTAAAATAGTTGACAACAAAGATAACCTCCTTGTTTTCTGATTATTAACCAGCATATCCATGGTTACCAAACACTAATGCTTTGTTTAATTAAAAAATTATGAACTACTGATGAATAGAACAAGCGACATTGAAATTCAAGTTGCATGCACATATAATTATACAAGAAAGGAATACGTACCACCATGTTGCACAAACCAGTAGTTTGGCCCCAAAAAGGTTACCAAGCTGTACAAGATAGATGAAAAGAATTAAGTACCTGGTACAGCCAATACAACAAAATTTAACAAAAGCAATGAAGACTAGTTAAGACAATGTCTGTAACTTAAATCATTTATAATAAAATACCAATAACTTCAAGCATCTGATATCCAATAGAAAATTCTTAGCACATGAAAGCTTGTCCACGTGGCTTGTATGACTCATAAGATCAATATCACGATAATTAATGAAACTTTGAATATAACATCTGTTCTTATATATTGGAACTAATGTTAGTTTTCCTCCCTTCATCAGACATTTTCTTAGACTTCAATATATTGTTGAACAAATTAGTCAACCAAGCTACCACTTCATCACCCTTCCAAACTAATGTTACTTTTCCTCCATTCATTAGACATTTTCTTAGAATTCAAGATATTGTTAAGCAAATTAGTCAACCAAACTACATCTTCATCATCCAAACACTTCCAACCTGAATAGGAAGTACATCTGGAAGAAGAATTGGGTGTACCTGCAAGAGGCTAAAAATTGAAGTCATATCCAGGAATGTGGTGAGCAGCGTTTGGAGTGGAAGATGGGTGGATTGGGAGTATTTGGGAGCTGTGAGAATGAAAGGAGGGATTTTGATCGTGTGGGGCTCTAGAGTTTTCACTAAAGTCAATGAGCATAAAGATCACTTTTCCAACTCTTGTAAGGTCAGGAATGCAGAGGATAGTTTTCTGTGGGCTTTCACAGAAGTGTATGGCCTTATAAAATATGCAAAATAAACTTTTTTGTGGGTAGAGAGTTGGTTCAGGTTAGAGCAAGTTGGGGCTGCCCTTGGTGCACAGGTGGAGATTTTAATGTAATTCATTTACTAGAAAAAAAATTGAGGTTATAGGTCAACTACTGGGGCAATACCAATATAATTTTCCAACATATATATCTCATTTACAATTAATTACTAACTAGTTTTTTTCCAGAATCTGTTTGGGACACTGGAAATGCAAACTAGAACACTAATCTTTGCAATATGACCAAGAATTTCAAGAACATGGAGAAATTTTAGAAGAACGACATTCCTCAGTTCCAAAATGATTAGAAATGGCACAAAACCCTAGCTTCACCAAAGTAAATGCCCCTCAAAATCTAAAAATACATATAAATAAGAGCAATAAAAGAATTAAAAACCCTAGATACTCTGTGTACTATATCGAACACTTGTACACAAGAAACCAAATCCCACAACCAACATAAACAGAATAAGAACGGTCCTAACTTATTTCTTAAGATTCAACAGCTTCAACCAACCTAAACAACAGTTTTATATATATATATCATAATTACATTTTATTGACAACAACAACAAAATTCAACTGATTCAACGAAAACTAACCTCGCGTGCAAAGACTCAAACTCGATTCGACCTTCAAAGCATCTTCGATTATATCGATAATGTAATTCGATTCTGCAAAATTGGGGGATTATTGAGCTATAGATGAAGAACCATATAATTGTAAAATACACAAAAATGACGACAAAGAAACTGAGACGATCGAGAAAAAAGGCAACACGTATACGTACACATAGATATAGAGACAGAGATTCCGTTGCAGAGATGAGAGTGAACAACTCGGTGACACAGAGAGAGGAGAGAGAGAATCGCACCCAAAAAGCGCGAGCAGACGAAAACCCTCTCCCTCTCTCTCTCTCTACTCTCGCTATGTGTGGAATCTGTGCAGAATTAGTAAGGAAAAAAAAAGGTACTCGCCACATTGGAAAAATTCAGTTCTACTCTCGCCACGTCAGAATGTAGATTTTTTAAAAATATTTTTTTAATAATACAGTGTCTCATCATAACTAAAAAATTAGAATTTGATTATTATAATAAAATAAAGGAAAAATTATCAGAAAATCCTATTTACCAATCTATTACTTCATCTACTCCCACTTTCATTCTCTTGGATTGACAAGTCCTGTTTGGTATGTTTTGTGGACAACCAGGTTCCGTTTTAAATTTATGTGGTGTGTGTGGACGAGTTTGACCCTCTTTTGTTTTTTCTTAGATTTTTTAAAAATAATTTTTTAATAATACAGTGTCTCATCATAACTACTCCCTCCGTCCCATAATATTAGTCCCTTATTCCATTTTTTATTATCCCAAAATATTAGTCCCTCTTCAAAAATCAAGTACAAAAATAATATAAATTTCCCATTTTGCCCTTCTTTTAAATTCATAAATAATATAAAAAGTACAATTATGATATTGATATTCTCAAAAAAGTGTACTATCAAAGGGTAATTTTGGAAAACCAACTTTTTAAAAGTACAATAATTGTACTATCAAAAAAAGTTGAATTCCCCAAAAGGGACCATTATTTTGGGACGGAGGGAGTAAAAAATTAGAATTTGATTATTACAATAAAATAAAGGGAAAATTATCAGAAAATCCTATTTACCAATCTATTACTTCATCTACTCCCACTTTCATTCTCTTGGATTGACAAGTCCTGTTTGGTATGTTTTGTGGACAACCAGGTTCCGTTTTAAATTTATGTGGTGCGTGTGGACGAGTTTGACCCTCTTTTGTTTTTTCTTTACATATGTATATTGGGATTGAATGCAGATTTTGTGGGATACGTTTCTGATCCACGTTTGGTAATTCGGATCCATGTTTTCTGGGTTATGGAGTCACACAACACTGCGTGGACCAACAAATGTGAACCTAACAAATCAACAATTTCCGTGAACCATAAGTACATCGGACGGTGAACTGGCCATTGAGATGATATAAGCTCCAACGCAATCCGATGGAAGCTCCGCTAAGACCCCAAATGTATCCAAGACATCGGCGATTTCTTCGGCTTTCGGAAGATCTGGACAGGCATTAATACCGACAAGCTTTCGCTTTGGTTCTGCTTCAAACTCTGTTTCAAAAAAACACAAAACAAAACTACCATATTAGTGATCCAGAGCAGAGCATAATTGTCATGATCTCATTTATCCAACAATAAAATAACAAAGAAGAAGAAGATGATGATGAAGAAAAAGATTACGATGTGAGTAGAATTAGGGTTGGAGGGAGAGGCATCGGGATAATGATAAGCTTCAACATCTGGATCTGGATGACCGTGGGAAGATTGACGGAGAGATCAGAGGTTGTCCCAGTGATAGCAACAGGAAAAGACGCCGCTCAAGGTGAAGATGATGATCTGAATCTGGATGAGCGTGGGCCATCTTGTTTTGTTTCTTATATTATCAAAGATTTGTTTTTATTATTTTTTTTAGGGGAAATTATCAACCAATGGTAAGGTTCACGTCAAAACGTCACAAATGGCAATTGGAAAACAAAGGGTCAAATTGTGGGAAAGCCAAAACGTGACACAATCCACGTAAAAAAAAAAAAAAAAATTGTGTAAAATTACTTGTGTTCACGTCACAACCCACGTCACAAAAAACCAACCCCCCAAACCAAAAAAAAAAAAAAAAAAAAAAAAACATAAAATGTGTCAAAATACTTGTGTTCACGTTACAACACACGTCTCATGTTTTTGGTGTTACACACTTACTAGATTAAAAAAAGTATTAGTGTGCTTTTTCGATCAGCGTGACATGCAAACACCCATTGACCTTATCTCATACAAACCTACACCAAATGTCAATCAATAATACTAGCAGTGGCAAAACTGTCAACAAACAAATTAAGGGACCACCCAGTCACTAAGAAAACATTCAGGATCTTATGAATTACAAGTCCACAATATGGGATTTACTGGTCAATTCCCCTAAAATAAAATTTTAATTTTATTAATTTTAATTTTAATTTATTTTTAATTTAAATTATTTGTTCATCTTTAAGTAAAATAAAAAATATATATTTTAGTCATTAAGTACAATAAAAAATAATTTCTTAAATATTTTATATATATTTATTTTAAGTTAATAATTAAAATATTATTTTTTTACGTCCGTCCTTATTTAATAAAAAGTAAAACTAAGTTTTATATTAAAAATAAATAAATTTAAATAAATAAAATTAAAATCTATTTTATTATAAAAGTTAAATTTTAAACTTTATAAAATATGACTCTTTTAATAATTTATAATTTTAAATGAAACAAATGGTGTCACGTGTGTGTGGGTCCCATGATATGATTTGCCTTGGCCCATCTAAATGCTTGTAATAGTATTATGATCTCTTTTATATATCATGGTTGATAAAGGCATATGGAAGCGAGTATAATATTTTTTATACTCTCAAGGGTATAGTCTTATCACAAGATAAGACTGGCACCTAAAGTTAGAATGAAATTTATTTAAGACTGTGTTTGGATGAATGAATTATAATAGAATAAATTAAATTAATTTTTCTTAAATTTTTTAATAATTATTAAAAGCTCCCTCAAGTTTTTGAAATTATAATAACCTCCTGCTAGTTTTGTTATATCACCTCTCATTCTTGTTGACATTTTTAAGTGTTTTAAATTGAAACAATTACACTTCAATTGTACCTTCTTAAAATAATTACAATATTATGAAAAAGTTTATCATAAGATTTATAAACTTTATTATTCATATGATTTTTTTTCCCCAAATTACCTCTGAATTGTTTTTTCCCCTTTTAAATTTATTTTTGGCAATGAAATTACAAAAACACCATTTTATAATATTTATGGAGAGAGAAAACCTCCCCCAAGTTTATGAAATTATAATAATTTCTTTAGAAAAACTCCAACATGCCCATCAAATAAGATTTGTTAGGTAAGGACTTTTCCTAGGTAAAATAACTTGTAATTTTTTTTATTATAAAATAACTAATAATTTTTTTTTTATATACAATTTCAACGCGCTCTGTAGATATTAAGTTCATTTATTTCTGTTATTCTTCTTCTTCTTCTTTCTCCTTTTTACGTTGAGAGAGCCATTAAAGACTTTTCAAAATCCAAGGAACATTACAGTTTATTTCCCATTATATATAACACCGATGTGGCATTACGTTAAAAAAATACTATCAATCATACATAAGTAATGCTATATAAATAATTTTCATACATAATGATATGATTCATTGTGGACCTTTCACTTCAAAATAAAATACTATAAAAAATGAATTTATTTACAATAATGATATTATCGCATCATTTTGTGAAGTTTTTTTTATATAAATTTTTTCAATGTATAATTAAAATTTCTCATCACATACGAATCAAAAAATAGAGAGAAAGAGAGTAGTATTGGAGTACTTATTAAGGTCAAGTTTGGCATGACTTAAATAATATAAAAAGTTAAAAAGTCACTATCCTATTTAAATCACATTATCTTATTTAAATTATATTACCTCTCTAACACATCACATTAAACTCAACCCAAACTCAATCTATATAAGTCAATAACATTTCAAAGTAACCCTAAATAAAGGGACAAAATAAAATAATAATTATACTTTTTGTTACTTTTAACTAGCAAGAAATGATTGATAAGGTTGGGGTGGCTTTGCATGTATAAAAATCATCATGTATAATAAATAATGAGGCGCACTCGGTCACATCAAAAATCGTACTAAAATTGAAGAATTTACGTAAAATATTCTCATAATATATTATAATTTAATTCCTCGATGTTCAAAAAATACACACATTTTGTTCACAATTTTTGATGATTTCTTTTTGATAAGTTGAGAACTCCGATGCTCAACATTTTTGATCGACTTTGCTCTTTGTCATTGAAATACCTAACATGCCATGCATTATTAAGGGTTGTTTGGCGTGATTTAAATAAGTGTATTTTTTATTTTTTTATAAAAAAATATGTAAAAAAATAAAGAAATGATGTGATAAAAAAAATAAAAAGATAAATTATTTTGTGTATGTCAAACTTGACCTAAAATATTATTATAATAATTATGTTTAATTTTTTAATTAATTGAAATCAATTCAAAAAATCAATCGATGTCTTGAATTTAGTGATAAGTTGAATTCAGTGATAAGTTGAGAGCTAGTGGCAAACATAAGGATGTTTGGTGGGCCACACAGTAGCGTAATCAGAAATTTAGTGGGGGAATACACATCACTATATTCGGTTATCATTTTTTATTTTTAAAAAATTTTATATTTTTATTTTTCGTGTTTTTTTGTTTTTATTGTATTTTTTTAATATTTTGAGCAATTGTTTTAATTTTTAAACATACCTAACATATATATACCTAAAAAGTAAAAAAAAATTGAAAAAAGCCTTTTAAAAATTCACTAAATACCAAAAATATATAAAAAAAATACGAGAATTCAGTACATTTTATGTATTTTTATGTATTTATTAATTTTTTTAAATATTTTTTCACAATTTTTTTACCTTTTAGATACATCTAAGTAAGGTGTATCTAAAAAAGTAAAAAAAATGTTTAAAATTTTAAAAATATTCATTAAAAACAAACATGTTTTTTTGTTTTTATTGTATTTTTTTAATATTTTGAGCAATTTTTTTTAATTTTTAAACATACCTAACATATATATACCTAAAAAGTAAAAAAAAATTGAAAAAAACTTTTTAAAAATTCACTAAATACCAAAAATATATAAAAAAAATACGAGAATTCAGTATATTTTATGTATTTTTATGTATTTATTAATTTTTAAAAATATTTTTTCACAAATTTTTTACTTTTCAGATACATAAAAAATAAAAATAAAATGTTTAAAATTTTAAAAATATTCACTAAAAACAAAAAAATACGAAAACAAA